GATAGATAGATAGATAGATAGATAGATAGATAGATAGATAGATAGATGTCTATGGCGATCAATAGAGCGGAAGATAGACGGACAGATTGTGTCCATCCAGTTGTTTCATGGTTGCAAATCTCCGGCGGGCAGAAGAAAGAGCAGAAGGGAACATTCCGTGTTACAGCTGGACTCTGGAATCCACCTGCCAGGAGATTTAACAAGTTTAATTCACAAGCGCTTGTAACTTGCTGTGGAATCTGCATGAAGCAAAAAGCTAAGGAAGCAGAGAGAACGCGGTGCTGGCAGCTGCTGCTCTGGCGGCTCACACAGGAAGGCTGGTTCGCTGCACAGTTAGTTTTAGTGCGGGCTCTGATAGGTTTCCCCTCCCTGTGTGTGTCTGGCACAGTAATACAGGGAGGTGTCTCCGGGTCGCAGGCCGGTCAGTTGCAGGAACACTTGGCTTTTGGAGGTGTCCCTGGTGATGGTGAGGCGACTTTTGAGAGCATCTTTATAGTTAGTGTCTCCATTACTCCAGATAACTCCCATCCATTCCAGCCCCTTCCCCGCTGGCTGGCGGGCCCAGTGCACCGCGTAGCTAGTGAGAGAGAACCCGGACACGGTGCAAGTCAGTCTGAGGGTCTCTCCCGGCTTCTTGACTCCCCCACCGGACTCCACCAGGCTGATCTGGGAATAGACACCTGCAGAGGGGGAAATAAAGGGGAAATATTGCAGTGATTCCCAGAGGCGCAGTTATTAGGGAACATGCGGTACCGGGCGCCCAGTGGCAGCGCAGATCCCGCCCGTACCCGCTGGGAGCAGCAGGAGGAAGGCGATGGCCAGGCTGGGGGTCATGTCTGCGGCTGGAGCTCGTTCCCCAGGCGGGATGGGACGCTGAACCCTGGCGCTGGCTCTGAGCGGGGTGATCAGCCCGGGACTGGGCTATGAACAGGGCCCCGGGAAGCTCATTTGCATGGACAGGGGGTGGGGACAATAGAACGGGGGGGCCTAGGAGGTGTGTGACGCAGCGTCGCGTTGTTAAGTCTCACGGCAGGTGGATTCCAGAGTCCAGCTGTAACACGGGATGTTCCCTTCTGCTATTTCTTCTGCCCCCCTTCCCACACCACACCCTGCCCTGGAGAGGGTCGGAGCAGGGCTGGCTCCAGGCACCAGGCACCCAAGCACATGCTTGGGGCGGCACCTGGTAAAGGGCGGCGGGGTGAGCGCGGCGTGGCATTCCGCGGGGGGAGCGCTCCGGTGGCGCGGCGCTCTGCGGGGCGGGCGGCACTCTGGGGGGAGTTCCGGTGGCGCTCGGCAGGGGGCGGGGTGGTCTCCGGCGGCGCGGCGCTCGGTGGGGGGGGGGGCGCCGGGCGGGGGGGCTGGGGGGGCGGCGGGTTTTTTTGCTGCTTGGGGCAGCAAAAAAGCTAGAGCCAGCCCTGCCTGCACATCTACCAATGTGATATATCCCATCATGTGCCAGCAATGCCCCTCTGCCATGTACATTGGTCAAACCAGACAGTCTCTACGCAAAAGAAGAAATGGACAGAAATCTGACATCAGGAATCATAACATTCAAAAACCAGTAGGAGAACATTTTAACCTGTCTGGTCACTCAGTAACAGACCTGGGGGTGGCAATTTTGCAACAGAAAAGCTTCAAAAACAGACTCCAACGAGAAACTGCTGAACTCGAATTGATATGCAAACTAGATACAATCAATTTAGGCTTGAATAGAGACTGGGAATGGCTGAGCCATTACAAACATTGAATCTATCTCCCCATGTAAGTATTCTCACACTTCTTATCAAACTGTCTGTACTGCGCTATCTGGATGATCACTTCAGACTTTTTTTCTCTTACTTAATTGGCCTCTCAGAGTTGGTAGGACAACTCCCACCTTTTCATGCTCTCTGTATGTGTGTATATATATCTCCTCAATATATGTTCCATTCTATGCATCCGAAGAAGTGGGTTGTAGCCCACGAAAGCTTATGCTCTAATAAATTTGTTAGTCTCTAAGGTGCCACAAGTACTCCTGTTCTTTTTGCGGATACAGACTAACACGGCTGCTACTCTGAAACCTGTCATTGAAAACAGTCCCACTTCATCACACAGCCCCCCCCCCGAAATCTGGCTCCGACCTCATCTCGCTGCCCCTGAGATCCTAGTTAAGGTCTGTGCTACTACTGTCCTATAGCTCAGTTATAAATAAGTGCCATGGAGAAGGGAAGCGGGGAAAGTAACTGAAATACTTCTCCGATGGATTGTATTTACTGAGGGACAACCCGTCCTAAATTCTCAATTACTGCGGGACAAGCTGCAATCACTGCTATATTTGCTTCCCACAAGCTGGGCTTAGTATCACTTTTTCTGAGTGATGCACTCCAATAGTCGGATGCTAATAGTTTAATTGCATGGTTACATTTATTAACCTTAATCAGGGATATTGCAGATGATGTACTGTATGTATTTTGTCACGTTTAAACCAAACTTCGTACTTTGAGATAATTTAACGCTTATACCCAGATGCAGAGACACTGTTTCTTTAACCTGTGTATTTGATAATTTTAACGTTAGCTTCATTATAAATAATGATAAACTTATAACCAAGACATCTCCTTCCCACCCCAGTTCCTTGGCCCTGCCCTCTCACTGTGTCACCTAGGCCAAGGCACTTCGCGCCTCTGCCCCTCAGCTGCCCATCTCTAAAATTCAGGTTGTGTTGCTTCTTCCGAGTGTCGTAGCTACTTAGATTGCAAAGCGCCTCATCTCCTTCGTGGAGCTCACGTCCTCCAAAATTTATTTGTTTTTCCAGGAGGGCTGAAGTGTGTCTCCCAACGGGTCTACTTGGACTGAGAGCTCGAATTACACTGAACCGCCTTTCAGACACCTGCCCCCCCCTCCAGCAGTTTGTGTCGGATCCCGGTGCGCTCTGCAGCACGGTGGATTCCAGAGAGCGCAGAAATACACCGCCGAGTCAGCCCGCTGCGCCCCGTCTATGGATAACGTGAGAGACTTCGCTCCCTTGTCCAGCTGCGCAGAGAAACGAGGTGCCACAGAATCGGATTTGCGTTCCAAGTCGTAGGAAAACCTCCCGATTAGGAACAGGGGCTGCTTCCCCGGCAGCTCCTGGTACCAGTCCAGGGCGTAGCTGGTGTAGGAGGTGATGTATTGACACCTGATCTCCACCCGCTCCCCTTCCGTGGCTGGCAGGGAAGCCGGGATCTGGGTCAGCGAGTTCCCCGCCACCGAACCTAGAAGGGGGAAAATTGGGAGGGAGTCACGGGGCGAGGAAAGTCCCATAGACAGGCCCCGGCCCCTCCGCCCAGAGCTCACCTGGGAACAGCGGCAGCGCGCAGAGATACAGCCACAGAGATCCCGGCATGTCTGTAATGGGGGAGCTAAAGAACCCCGAAGTCACCGACTGGGCTTCAGGGAGAGAGCAAGCGACTGGGGAATGACACCAGCTGCTGTGTGAATGGGGGATCCGGAGCTGGGGTGCGGGTGGCGCTCACACACCCCAGTAACGCGTGGGAAAGAGTGCGAAGGTTGTGTGTGCAGTTGTGAGCATTTATCCGGGTCTGTCTGTGTGTCTGGCTGTTTCCGTGTGTGTCGTTGTCTGTCTGCACGCCCTTCTCTCTCACAAACAGCAGACAAACCCAACCCGCCAAAACCCGGTGTCCTCCGATCCTGCCTGCTCCGGAACTCAGGCTGAGAAGGGTTTAAAGACAAGGAGCTCTGTAGTGAGGGCGCGGAGCGCCCTCTTTCTGTCACTACCCGAGCCCCTCTCACATGCCTGGGGGGAGGGGAGCAGGGCAGGGGGGTCCAGGGTGGGGGAGGGGGAGGCTGGGGGATGGGGCAGCTGGCACGCCATGAGGCTGGGGTTCCCCGTGTTGCCCCATGGGGTTGGCATCTCCCTGCTGCCTGCTACAGAGACACGGTATCCCGGCCCTTCCCGCGCTGAAAGCGCCGGGTCCCCCGTGCGACACACACTGAAAACTGCGGGTGGGATTCCCAGTTCCCATCGCA